CGGGCGCGGGTCTCCTCCCGGGCGGCGGGCAGCGCCCGGCGCGCTGCCTTTGTCTCCTGCGCTGCGTCCCGCACCGCAAAGGCGTCGGCGCTAAATTCCCAGGGGCTAAGAAGATCCCAGGCTGCCTTTCTTGCCCTGCTTCGTCATTTTACTATTTTTTTAATTTTTTTTTTCCTGTGTGCTTAAGGGCTCAGTAAAGTCTTTGGCCTGGATATTTTGCTGTTTTTTATTTTTCCTCCGTGTTTAAGTGTCTGCATTGAATGAACTAATAAAGATGGATAAGAAATCATTTGAAACCGTGCTGGATGAAATTAGAAAGGTAACTTCTCGTTTTGCATGTTAGTGTAACCATTTGATGGTAGAATATTCCTCTTGCTGAACATGCCGGGTTAGGTGTTTGTGTTCTTTAGTAATCACTTCAGGATTCAATAAAGAGTGAATTTCCCCTCAGTGCAAAGAACTGTAATCCTGCGTTGCTGGTGTATCCTAGCTCTTGTTTGTCAGGTATAACAGTGTAAAGCTGCTGTGATGTGCTTGCTCTCCTTGAGAGATTTTTATTTTCTCAGAAAACTGAGATTTGAATGTCCATACTGCTACCGCTGAGCTAACAACATGCGCCCGAAGAGCACTGATTTGAAATAAGTATTTGAATAAGTTCATCGCAGCGTTTTTGCTGTCAGGAGAGATGAGGAAGAAAAGCCAAAATAGCCAAATACTTCTTACTTGAGAGGAGAGGCTGTGTTTGCTTGACCTGACCCGAGGCAGGGACTTAAAGTGTGAGGTATCCTTTTAATATGATGGTTTAGCAGATGCAACACACAAATGTGATGTGAGCGGGATGATTCCTAAGCTGCGCTCTGCTGTCCTTGTTCAAAGCAACATCTCCCGAAACTCGGGAGTGTGTGTGCAGCTGCCTCCATCCAGGATGTGAAATCCTGGGGTTTGATGCGTGCTCTGAACTATGCTTGTGTATCTCCTCTTAAAAACTCATTGAGCAAAGTAGCTGGTAATTATGGGAAGCAGAGGTACAAACCTGGGCTTCCCGATGTCTGCCAGGTCTCCTGTTTCTTACTGCACAGAGGCCTACTTTTTAAACTGGAAAGCTAGAGATTAGTGGTTGGGACAGCTCCCCAAAATGCTGGAAATGGAAAAGGAGATAGAAAAAGTCAGAACCTTTGAGACTGATGGTTCTTGTCTTTCCTGGGAAATACAAACCTCAATGATGTATTTTGCTGTAGTTAAGCAGAGGTGATTTGGGTGTCACAGTGGAGCAGTTATGAATCCTGCTAAAACTGTCTTGGTGTGGAAATGAAGGGCTTCTTTCAGAAAAGATTGCCTTATGGCAGAAAAGGAATCCTTAGCAGTTTTGTGATAGGTGTTTTTTTGTAAGATGGGTTGTCTGGGAGAGCTCATTTCCATTATTTGGACTTGGGTGCTACAGAGCTGAGTTTCAGTTCAGCTTCTCTTCAGTGTGAGAGGCAGTGATGGCTGCAGTTGTAGTGTTTTTATTTTGGAACATACTGAAGTATAAACCACTGGGCACAAAAGCCCCAGTGATGAGTCTTTTTTTATCACAACTGCACTTGATAGCATTTTTGCATAAGGTCATGGTCATAAAGTCTCCTTTATAAAACAGGTACATTCCATACGTAACCAGCTAAAAATGTGACAGCCTAAAATATTTCAGGGTGTGGATTTCCCTTCCAACCTCAGAATTTTTACAGAAAATCCGGGTGAAAAGATCAAGGAACAACTTGCACATGAATACTTCCTCCGAGAATTGATGGTGAGAGGGAGTAATGTTTCAAATATTACTACTGCAGTGCGGCCCTTCAGAACACGCTCTGTGATTACTAAAGACTTCAAACAAAAGGGGTTTTGACACGTGATTTTAGGCAATTATGTTTCCTGTATGCTATCTGCCTTTATTCCTGTAAGCCTAACTTATGTTGATCTAAGGATCAGTGTTGTGCTGTGTTAATAACAGCAGTGCTGTTCCAGTGTAATGTTCATTTTCCAAATGCTTATTTTGTATCTTTGTTGCTAGGTCTTTGTTTAAACTTCATTTCTAGCTCTGTGGTAGAGCCTTCTTTATTATGTGATTCACAAATCAGTTGTGTTGGTGTGTTCCATTTCCAGTCCTACAATTAACAGGAACAATTATTTAAGTGTCTTAATGTGTAGCTTAGTTCTATCTTTCCCCCATATATATTTATGATTATTAACGAAATAAAGTTTGGGGTTTTGGTGGTGGTTTTTTTTTTTCATAAATATACATAGCAGTGCTTTCTGTTTGTGTTCTTACTATGAAGTCATGCAGTTCTTGATGCAAGGAGGAAGAGTGACGTTTGTTTTGGTAAAGTTATAGTTGCTATATGACATACCAGGCTTTTTTCCAAAATATGTGAAGAGGAGGAAGGGAGAGAAGAAAAAATGATCATGGAGAGAGTTCTTTTTCCCGTGTGACTTCAGCGTGTCTGGTAGTGTTGGTCTCTTAATGAGGTACAGAAAGGAAGGGGCTCGCCTCAGACAGTATGCGAGTGGGTTTCTGTGCAGCTGTGCTACTCGCAGTCAGGTTGCAGTGACGGAGAACTTCACGTCTGTCTGAGTGGATGGACAAGGACAAAAAAAAGAAGGAGTAGGGGTAGGTTTTAGGGCTGTTGGGAAGAAGATAGAAATGCATGTGTGGGTGAAGCTGGAGATGATTTGAGAATAAGAATGAGAGCTAGCAATAGATGGGGGCCTTGGAAACCGGGGAGGAAAGGTGTGTGTACCAGCTTGGGGCAGGAATTCAGCTGTTACCGGTTATTCATCTGTTACATCTTGTACCTGTATCAGTGAGCTGGCTATGAGGAGAGGGAGGAAGCTCTGGCTATTAGATAGCCCACATGGTTATCAACAAAACTGTCTTGCCACTCAGTCAATAGCAGTGGCCAGTACTGCCTTAAACTACTCTGCTTCCTTTGTTTTGTATAATTGCATATTAACGTTTGACCTATGGGAAAGGTCATGCTAGGACACCTTCTGGAGCAAGCTTTCTTGTATACTTAATTATGTCTGTACAGTATTGCTATCCGGTCTCTTCATAAATTCACTGAAGTAAGATGCTTTGCTAATTATTTTACAGGGAACACACAAAGAAATTGTATGGATAATCAACTCTTGTTAACATAAAGTTGATGTAAACCTTAGAGGCAGAAAGAAGAGTGATGATGATGTTCTCACGGTACAGTTTTAAACAACAAAAAAAGAAAGCAAAATGAAATAAATCAAAAAATAAGTAATTTAACAGAAGAATTAAATTCCATCTCTGCTTTTCATTGTTCTCTCAATTACCTAAGGAATATTCTGTTACTTAGAAATATTGCAGTGTAATTGATGCAAATGTCACTTCATAAGGTCAGATTTTTTTAGTTTAATAGATTATTCTAGCGGATGATTGTGCTATAATTTTTGAGGGACTAAATATGCATCTTTTTTTTCTTTATCTTCTAGGCTGTACTGACTGAGTACAAATTAAAAGCTATTGAATATGTTCATGGATACTTTTCTAGTGAACAGGTAAAAGTCAACGCTGTCATAGGTTTAATGGAAACCATTTATTTAATTATTTAATGGTAGGTTTGTGTATTTAGTAATATAGAAAGACAGTGTCTTCAATCATACTGAGGCTGATCATGTTAGCTTTTTTATTTATTAACTGAGGAGATTTAAATCATCATAATTATATCAGCATTAATATGTTAAAAATAGTTCCAAGTTATTTTGTTATCAAAATCATTACATTTGTGTTTCTGTTTTGTGGGGAAAATTGGACAAATCGATCATCATTAAATTTAGGATTATTTTGCATGTATTTTCTAAACTGACATGTAGTAATAAGTATCCAACTTATTTTGGTACTATGCAGCTTTTGTTCTCCTGTTTCTTTTTCCTCTTGGTTTTTTTTGTGTATGTTTGGTGAATATGCTGTTTGCAATACTGAAGATTTATAAGCTTTTTCAGAAAGACTTAATTTTATTATAATACTGTGGCAATTGTTGTGCATGTATGCAAATATATAAAGAGGAGTAAGTACATATTTTAAATAGTTCCATAGAAAAACTTCATCTCATAACAGAATTTTTAGGTACCCACTTAGAAATAAAAAGAACATCACATGCGTGTAGGCATTGACGTAATCAGACATCACAGACAGACACACGGTTTTTAGCAGTATGCCACTCTACTCTAAAATGGAAAGATCATATTGATGCTGTTAGCATCATTTTTTAATATGTATAAAATATTAATTAAAGGCCTTTTCTGTTGCAGGT